CCCCGCCGCCGTCGGACACCCCTCCGCCGCCGTCAAAGTTGGCTCCTTGGTCTTCTTCGGGGTTCTCGGAATCCCTCTCGCGGTAATTAATTAATCAACTTTCTCTCTTTTCTTTCTCCTAAATGTTTAGTGTAGTAAGCCATTAACGATTCAAATCATTAGAGGATCATTGGGATAATTTTATTTTTTATATATAAATGCTGTTTTATTTTATTTCTCTTTGTTTACGATTTTTCTTTACAAAGATTAAAGAATCTTTAAGATTCTTTTTGACCGATGGGGTTTCCGTTTGGTAGCTTGATCAGTCTATGATAGAGATTTATAAATAGGAAAACGTTAAACGTTTAGGGGTGGAAGGAAGAGAAATAAAAAAGATATATGATATGCTTAAAAAAGTATATTATAAGAAAATGTAATGTATGATTATAGGAACTCTTAAAAAAATGATAAATTAATAGATATGTTACCTTTATTCTTGATGTGAGGATGAGGTCACAAAAAAAAAAAAAAAGAGGTTTACGGTACAATTAGAAAAAACAGAGAAGCATGGGAAAAGTTGAAAAGCTTGAACAATGAGAAGGTTGATTGGTTATATATACTAACTAATACACAACTTGCTGTGCAGATTAATTTCAGTGTTCCTTTTGCTCTAGCATCCATATACTGCAGCTCTTCTGGGGCAGGCCAAGGTAAACCAATTCCCAACTTGTTTGAATTACATTATTTTATTTACAATGAATTGTTGTTATAATTCATAAAAGTAACTTTAAATATATTTTTTCCTCAAAAATTGGGTTTTACTAAACACACTCAATTATTAAATAAGTTGTTCTCAAATTTGGGCCAATTCATGTAGCCAATTATATATGAGCCTAAAGGCATATTATATCTTTTCTTTGTTGCTTCAGGTTTATCTTTGGGAGTCCTCAATCTTGCAATTGTTTTACCACAGGTTAGGATCGATCTACTTACTCTTATATTTGTCACTTAAGAACTTTCTCTCTAATTTTTATTTGTACAAAGTTTTTATTAAAAAAAATAAAATCATACTGTAGAATGTACAGATATATTTTTCAATGAAAACTTTTCATTTTTATTCCTTAACCAAGTGTTTTCAATGCAATGAAGGCACCTTTTTGCATTTTCTGTGACATTATTATTCAATTATTTGACTATGTACACACATATGAATGCACAGATGGTGGTGTCTGCATTAAGTGGTCCATGGGATAACTTGTTTGGTGGTGGCAACTTGCCGGCTTTCATGGTGGGTGCGGTGGCGGCGGCGCTGAGCGCCGTCATGGCGATTATCCTCCTGCCAACTCCAGAGCCAGCTGAAGAGGCCAAGGCTGCAAACATGGCCTCAGGGGGTTTTCACTAGTTAATTAATTTCATTTTCGTCCCCAAAAGAAAAATAAAAAAACAAATAAGAAAAGAAATGAATAAAAGGTCTTTTTTTTTTTTATTTATTTATTTGAAGCTAGTGTGTAATTATCTATGTGCTAGACCCACCAAGTGCTACATTTGTCATTCTTGTAGCACCCACTAAACATAGTAATTGTAGAGGTTTGGTGTGATTGTACAGAATTCAATGGATGCAGGACCCATCCTCGGGTATAAATTTAGTATCTATGTGTTCAGAGGAATGTGATGATTAGGAATGCTTAGTTGAAGACTTTATCCATTAATCATAATAAGAGAAATGCTATCTTTACAATGTTTCCTCAAATACCTTTTTTCATAATTTGTTTTTCTCTTAATCTCCCCTTATTACACATTATTTATCTTATTTTATACCTTTTTTTTTTTAATAATGTAAATAGTTCTGTGAAAAGTGTTATGAAAATAAAAAAGTAGTTAATTCTATCACCATTGCCATAATATTTTTACATTTTTTTTCTCTACCTTAAGCTATCATATCACGTACTTTTCCACAAAAAAAAAACTATATTATCAGTTAATCACTTTCATTTCACATTTTTTTTTCTCTACAGTCTTCTCTCCTCTTTATATTATAGAAGTTAAATGAAAGAAATTGTTGTAAAAAATAACATTACTCCGTTAATTTGTTTTGTGTCCTAATGTTATAGGGAAAGTTTCTGAATAAATAGTTTTTTTCTTTGAAAGATTAATTTATGAAAATAAAGAATTAAATCCAAAACATTTAATTTAATCTGATTTAACTCAATTATTGGAGTTTTTAACTCAAATAATACTATTTTAAAAAAAATTACCCAAATAACAACCGTGCAAATTTATTTTCCAAACTAGTACGATTTACTGTTCACGTTTCGGAACGGGCCGTTCTGAAATCAGAACGGACCATTCCGGATTAAAAAATAACACATGGAATATAAATTAGTAATTAACATTATTAATGTAAATTAATGAGAAATTGAAATAATTTAACTACAAATCTATTAACATTCTTAATATCAAGTTTTGAATTTGATAAACAAAAAAAGAGACTAAAACCAATAAATACTCTTGTCAATATCATAATAACAAAAAAAATTTAACTACATATCAAGATGAGATAAAATTATTTAAATGAATTAAATTTAAGGTAATTTATATTTAGATAAAACTTAAATACAATATATTATCTGTTTTATTTTTATGTATTTTTATCCAATTGAAATTATAATTTTACTTTAATCTTTTTCCATTTTGACATAACGGGCTGACTCTCCCAAAAAAAAAAGAAGTTTAAAGCCTCAATGACCGAGGGAAAAAAGTGAAGTAAATTAGTTTTTTTTTTAAAGAATTAATTCCATTTTTAAATCCTCTCAAATTTTTTTTTTCATTTTTAAATTTAAAAAATTGTAATTAGATAATTGATCTTTTACAATATCTGCTATTGATCCGTGGTGTTAATTTATAATGGTTAGAAAATTATAATTTGTGATAATTTTAAATATCAAAGTATAAGAATGTTAGCGTGACAAAGCACCGATCCAGAATTAGTTCTATATCGGTTCAAAGGACAAAAGTTTGTGGATACTTTTGGGTGCTACTAGAGTGTCAAAAGTTCTAATTATATTGGTACTAAAAAAATACGAGTTTATTTAAAATAAATAAATTTAAAAGCTTAATTAAATTTTTCTTTAAAACTTGGGATCTACATATATATGTATTCGATCGTTCTCGTTTGAACAACGTTTTAGGGTTAATATAATCGTTTTATTAAAGTTAGAATATTTAAAAATATAATTTATCCTCTTTTATTCTAGGACTAGGGTTTTTATAGTTAATTATGTATGCGTTAATGGGTCTTGAGAGTTTTTGGATTTGATAATGTAATTTAGGTATTATATTTTAGTAAATTATCTTGATTATTAAAGATAAGATTTGGTCCAAATTTTTTGAGTTAGATTAATTTCGACTTCACTTAAGCATGATTAATAAATCAGATACTAAGTATTAGAGGTCAATTTAACATTGTTTATCTCCTATTTTAATTTTGATCAGTCCATTTAAGCGACACAGTCAGTTTTAATCCAGCTTGTGCAATAGATCATATACTTTATTATTCATCGTCATCATATCATCTCGACGGACTCATGTCGAATTATATTCGAGACAGTACACTTGGCCACCAACACCAAGAGTGACACCCTCTACCCCTCATATATAATAATATAAAAATAGAAATTTTTTATAAAAAGAATACTTTATTAAATGATTCAAAATTAAGAAAAAAAAAGGTGCCACATTCTAAATTCAAAATTCAAGAATTGAAACTAAACTAAACTATTGCAAAAATGTTTAAAAAAAAGAAGAAGAGAGAATTAAACTATAATCCCTATTGGAAAAGAACATAAAAATAATCCTAAGTAACCCCAATGTCACATGTATACACATACCAAAACAATTACAAGAAAATAGGAGAGTGAGAACATTTCTCACTCCAGCTACCGATGTAGGAGAAAGACAAGTAGTCACACACAAATAATACACATAAATGGAATATACATAGGACTCATCAATAATTAATCCATAAATAACATTATAACAACTAAAGCAATAATTCTCAATTCATACTTCATCACATCACAACACAAACCAGATTTATAACTCAAATGCAAACAATATGTCATGTCCATGCAAGGTTGAGGAGAAAAGAGAAATACTAGAAGAGGGGTTGAATAATATTACTCAAAAACCCGCACTTTTCGCAAAGCAATGAAGTAGTAGCGTAACAAATAGGAAAGAACACATGAAATAAAGAATGAACTCAAAGATTTATACCAATTTATTTCAACCACCAAGACTATATCTAGTTCTTGATCTAACCAGATCAAGTTTCACTTTCTTATACAAAGATGTAAGTATTATTTACCAAGCCACTTCTAGCTCAAACCTAAGTATTCTTTTACTTGTCTCTTCAAACAACTACCCAAGTATTCTTTGAACACAAAGTCTCTCCAAGGTCCAACAACTGAGTATTCTTTTATAGATAAACCTCTCCAGGCTCAAATCAATAAGTATTCTTTTACGGTTAAAACTTTTTAGGCTCAAACCAACAAGTATTATTTTATAGTTAAGTCTTTTCAGCCTCGAACCAACAAGTATTCTTTTACAGTTAAGTATTTTCAAGCTTAGAGCAATAAGAAAAAGTTAAAGCTGGATAAGCTAACTATGTTGTTTCATCATACTATCAAGATATGGTACAACTAATTAAGTACAAAGACCTTTTTATAGAATGAAAGAAAGAATACAAGTTTTACAATTATTGATTTCTCTTCATTTTTCTGAATTTCAAACTTCTTTGTATAGGATTTCAGTGAAGACGATCGTTGCAAATTTTTTGAGTTTCTTTCTCATAACTTGCGTTGTTTGTCTTCATGATTTTTTTCTTGAGGAGAGAAGTGTTTGCGTTAAATACTTTCACCAAATTTTCACTTCTTTTTTGTTCAATGAAGCTACTTATCACCTTTTAAGTTACAAGTGGGTAGAGCCATGTGTGTGTCAGGATGTTGCAGTGATGAAATAACTTTTGACTACAACTTTCTATGTTTTTAGAGGACTACTTGTCCTTTTCTAATACAAAGCATGTTTTTATTTCTTTTTTGTAGAACGTTGGAACCATGGAAGTATTTTTAAATTTGATTTCTTAAGGAAACATTCATATGTAATCAATTTCTTATTTAGAGATCGTAAATGATAAATATTTAATGCATATCTCCTTTTATGACTAAGGGTACATCTTATTCAATAACAAAATCATCTTAATGTAGTTTTCATCTTATACAATTCGTCTTACTAATGGATTGTGTCTTAGAAGGTTCTTCTTAGTTGTTTTAAAAAACTATACTGTTGATGAAGACCTTCTTTATTTTTTAACATCAAAACTTAAAATTGGAGGGATCTAAGATTGTCTTTTGACCTAACATTTCCTCTCTTTTTGATGGTGACAAACATTCATTTTTGAAATGAAGTTTTTGATAAAAAAAATGTGAGACTAAACTTTTTCATTCCAAAATAATAAAAATATTTGTGATAAGATGAAGTAGTTTCCTTTTACTAAAGATCTTAACAACTTTTATGAGCGATAGGCTTGTTTTTATGAAAATTTTTTTGACATTAAAAGTATATAAGAGCAAGATTTTTCACAAATTGTGATTTTCACAAGAGTTTGTTCATAAAAAAAATTTTGATTAAGGATTTTGAAAATGCATATCGGAGCAAGATATTTAGAGATTGCAAAATTTAAGTTATACTTAAAGAAGATATACAATGCAATAGAGCAAAATGTATCCCAAAACAAATCATAAAATAAAATAAAATAATGTCAGAACTATATCAGAGCATATGTATCGGAGTATATTCTATCAAATATATGAGGGCACTTATAACTATCAGAGCAAAAAGATTAAAAAAATATACGATACTTAGTGAAATAAAAGTGCTCCCCTTAAGAATATGCATAAATGAAAACTTGTTTGTGAAAGCAATTATATTCAAGCATATAAGCATGAATTATGCATAATAAAATATGGTTACTATCAAACAAAACTTATTTAATATGATTTGACTTTTTCATGTCTAACTGATATTCATTATTTCAAAACTTATTATTACGTATGTTTTTGAAACCTCAGATTTTTTTGGACACAACTTAAAGACTCTAAACACAAGTTTTATGAGAAACTTGATGAAGTCTCCTTCATATTATTTCTCTCATTTAAAACAATGACCATAAACTCTCAATTTATTGACGTGACATTTTAATCTTAATAGATGAAACAAATTTTTAAAATAAATATAATATTTTTAATTCTAAATAATATTTAAAAGATAAATAATCTTTTTATATATTTAAAAAATATCTTTAAAATTTAAAATTTGAATTATTTTCTCTAACATATTTCTAAAATGGATTTCTCCTCAACCACCTTGCAAAGAACCTCGTCTCCAAAGCTGAGCAAAATCATGTTGTGGGGAATTCATCTTCACTCATCCGATCCTGTGAACTTCTCAATTTCTATCTTCACCATCGCCATTTTCTTCTTCCAATCCCGTTTTGTGAAGTTTGTGATAACAATTGTTGTGAAACAGAACCAGAGAAAGAAAGTTGAAGAAGAAAAAGTTATTAGAGATTCTAAGAAAATGTCTCACTTTGTAACTAACCACATCT